AAATACAGGGATCTCTCCCATCCCAAAGACCTGGAAACTCCCTTGGCAAACACAGACAAGGTCCACCCTCTCCAGGGCCCATGATCTCACTGAGAAACTGATTGGCCAGCTTGGTCACATGCAAAGCCCTTTGCCCAATCACATAATCGGCTAGGGCTGCAAGCCCCGGCCCTTCAGTCAAGGCCAGACAGCACCATGTAGTTGATGAGGCCCCAGGAACCCTATAAGAAAAGAGAAGAGAGGCCGGTGGTGGTGGTGCATGCCTTTAATCCCAGCACATGGGAGGCAGAGGCAGGCAGATCTCTGTGAGTTCGAGACCAGCCTGGTCTACAAGAGCTAGTTCCAGGACAGTCTCCAAAGCCACAGAGAATCCCTGTCTCGAAAAACCGAGAGAGAGAGAGAGAGAGAGAGAGAGAGAGAGAGAGAGAGAGGAGCTTCTCCAACACGTAAAGGTACTAAGCAGACCCCAGATACAATCGCAAGGGGGTTTGGGGCCAGATGGACTTGGGTTCAAATCTTAGTTCAACCACTGAGTAATTGCGTGGAAAGTCACTCGAGCCATGTGAGAATTAACGTTTTCATCTCCAAAATGTATATCACACCTGCCTGTCGATGTCGTGGCAAGAATTTCCGAGGACAATGAAGTGTTTGGAAAGGTCGCAAGTTCTCAAGGTAGCACATGTAACCTCACTGCTCTAAAGACCACCCACTGTGGCTGGGCGTTTGGACCCACTATCAATGAAAGCCAGGTATCTCAGGGCTAGAGAGGTGACTCGGTGGTTAAGAGCATACCCTGCTCTTGGAGAGAGCCAGAATTCTGTTCCCAGCACCAATAACTGCCAGTAACTCTAGCTCCAGGAGATCCAACGCCCTCTTCTGGCCTCCTTGGGCACCTGCACTCACATATAATCATAATTAAAGATAAAATAAATCTTAAGGGGAAAAAATGTGTCTCTTTCCCTATTTGCTTCCATGGGACTGGCTCCAGGCATTTCATACATCACCTCCTGGACACACAGACCCCACCCAAGAAACCTCCTATTAGAACAAGTTATTAAAGATTCAGGGAAAGGAGTGGACCATGAGATGGATGGCAAGAAACAAGCCCTGGAGATGAGCTTGGCTTTACCAATCCTAAATAGCAGTGTATGGCTGTTAAACCCTTTATATTGTTGCCACTATGTTAAAAAAACAAACCTTTAGCTGTCCCCCTCCCCCCACGCATGTGTGTGTGTGTGTGTGTGTGTGTGTGTATGTGTGTGGTATGTGTGTGTACACACATGTATGCAGGTGTGTTTGCCCATGCAGGCACAGATGGAGACCAGAGGCTGACAACCAGATATATTCCTCATATGCATCTCCAGGTTTGCTTTGTTTGTTTTGAGACAGGGTCTCTCAATGAAACTGCAACTCACCATTTTGACTAGACTGGTGGGCAAGTCCCAGGGGGCCTTCACCTGCCCTCATTTGGGTTATAGATACATGCCCTCACGCCTGTCTTTTTTCTTTTATGTGAGTGCTGGGGATCTGAACTCAGACCCTCATGCTTGCACACAAGCAACTTATCCACTGAGCCATCTCCTCAGCCCATTACACTCAGTCCCTTTTGCTTTGCTGTCTGTCTGTCTATCTATATCTAATCTCTCATCTATTTCTTATCTGTCACTCTCCTACACTCCCTTCCCTTCCTTTTCCTCTCTTGTTTCACCTTGGGAAGGTGTGCCTGTTAGTGTTGGTCAGCTTGGCACGTACTAAGTCACTTGGGAATAGTGAAACTCAGTTAGGGAATTTCCTCCCTTGGATTGGCCTGTGCACATACCTATAGGGACATTTTCATGACGGATGGTTGCTATGAGAGGACCCAGTCCTGGGCAACTGGGTATAAAAAAGCAGGCTGCGGAAGCCATGGGGAGCAAGCCAGTTAGCAGCATTCCTCCATGGCCTCTTCACTTCCTGCCTCCAGATTCCTGCCTTGAACTCCTGCCCTGACTTCCCTCCATGACGAACTCTAATCTGTAAGATAAAATAAACCCTTTCTTCCCCAATTTGCTCTTGGCCACAGTGTTCACAAGATGAAGCAAACTAGGACAGACAGGCATGTGATCCCTTGAGGGTAGGGCGGCTTTCCTGGGGAAGGGATGAAGCATGACCTTCTTGCCTGGGAAGGGGGCTGGTCCATGTCCTAAAGGAAAAACAAAAAAGCCCCACTATGGTGACTCTCCTGCTTTTCCATATTATCTACTGTTTCTGCTTCTTCCCTTTCTTCTGAGATGGGGTCTCTGTTGCCCAGGCTAGTCTCAAACTAACAGCCCACATAATCTTCCTGCTTTAGTCCCACAAATACCTGGAACCTCCTATGAGTACCTTGTATCTCACGGGACTTTGGCTTTCTTTCTTCTTGTGGTGGGGGCCAAACCTGAGGCTCTGCCCATGCTGAGCGAGCTCTCTACACTGAACCACACCTCCAGCCCTTGGATCTATTTATTAATGCATCCTGATCTACTCCTCTATCTAGAAAAATCAAAAATGAAAGATGATATAAAATACAGTTGACAGAAATTTTGGGATGAGTGAGGATTTGGAGGTTATGGGGGGGCGGTGGACAACCTGGAAACTGTCGATTGAAACACAGAGACTGGAAAAGTCAACAGACTTTATTTGGGGTCTGTGCAATGGCAGTTCAGAAAACATGGATTCAAATATCTAAATCACTGTTCCAAAGAAGATAGGGAAGGCAGGAGATGTCAATTTATTACAAAGCCATAACAAGACTCTGAGAAGCAACTTCTGTTGGAGTTGAGAACAAGTGTATGATAACTCTTTGATATGTACCCAAGTCCCCAAGACACCCGCAGGCAAAAGGTGACCAGCTTCACACATATAGACACACACACACACAGAGAGAGAGAGAGAGAGAGAGAGACAGAGAGACACAGAGAGAGGGACAGAGAGAGACAGAGAGACAGAGAGACAGAGACAGAGAGAGACAGAGAGACAGAGAGACAGGAGACAGAGAGAGAGAAAGAGTAGGAATGTGGTCATTGCCTCCCAGAAAAGTTATTTCAGGAAGATTTTCACCCAGGGCCCCCACCAGAGCATGTTCCCAGCTAGAAACCCTGAAAGTGACACTTGTAAGGACCAGCCCCAGGATCCCACCCACTGCAGCAGCCCATGAGCACTTAACCACCTGAACTGCTGAACTGTCGTGGATTGACCTACAGCCTAAGCACTGAGCTTCATTTGCCTGCCCTGGGCAGCACCTCCTTGCTCCCCAGCTTGAGAGGTGCCCTGCTGCCAGGATGGGGGGGGGCACTCTACCTGTACACAGTCCCTGCTGGCCCTGCCCTGCGTCCTTCACAGCCCACACTCCCCTTTTCACCTTAGATACTGGTGGCTCAGCACCCCTGTAAGCCTGTGCATTTGAACTCTAGACCACTTCCCTCCCCATCAAAGCATGGTACAATACTAAAATTTGCTCCAAAGTTGTTATTTTGTAAGGATAGTTACAATTTTTTTCTTGAAACTATTCATCTGGAAATAGCTGCTTTGTAACTGGAACTTCTCAAAGAGAGAGAAGCCTAGCCCACACATTCCTTCAAATGTAATGAAACTTTTATGGATGCTAAATTTAAGAATTAATGAGGTTGATAAAATGTTACAGTTGGATATTTTATTACAAATTTATTGGTTTCCATTTGGGCAGGGTTCTCATTTTAGAACCAAGCATTTCTTTTCCAATTATCATGCTCATGTGGGCCTCTGAGGATGCCCAGAGCTCTATGCATGCCGGCGCTCGGGCGCGGGTACATACATACACACACACACACACACACACACACACACACACACACACAGTGCCCTTATCCCCCCCACACACACACAGTGTCCTTACCCACACACCACGCACACACACACTGTGCTTACACACATCACACACACACAGATACACACACCATGCCCCACACACAGACATTTATGCTTCAATGGTACTTTGGTGGCAGACAGTTAGGTCAAAACAAGGACCCATGTCATGTCACTTCATGTGACATGAGTACTACTTTTTAAGACTTATTTTTATTTTATGTATATGTCTTTGTATGTCATGTATGTAGGGGTGTCTAAGGAGGCCAGAAGAGGTCATTGAACCCCTTGAACTGAAATTACAAACAACTGTGAGCCACCCATGTCGGTGCTGGAAACCAAAGCAGGTCCTCTGGCAGAGTGACCAGCACTCTTAAGCAATAAGCCACCTCTCCATCCTCTGACATAGAGTACTTCTTCATAGCAACCCGTGGCTTAGGCTGCAAAGGGCACAGAGCCCAAAACAAGTGATTCTCCGCTTAGCATGGCCATTGCTTTCCTCCTAGGAGAGTGGGTCCTAGGCTAAAGAGAAGGCCCATATGCCCCGGGTTCCATAGTGGACACAGAGAAGTTACTGGCACTTTTTCTGTGACTGCAGGCTCTACCTTCCAAGCAGGTGGCATCGGTGTGAGTTGACGGGAAAGATTTCCTCATGGCACAAGGACAGTGCCCTGAAGCGGGGCTTTGAAAAGCAGACGCTGGACACGAGGGCACAGTATCCAGCCTCTGCATATCCAGATGGAAGGATGGAGTGAGTCAACCTTCAGCCACGTATGTAGCAAGGACTGAGGCAAAGAAAAGACGTTTGCTCCTGCCTGCCTCCTTCGCTTTATCGACAATCTGCTGAAATTTCATTTCTCGCCACTGGGTGGAGCCAATGTCCACAATAACAGAGTTGGGCTCTGCAGCTGGGTTCTGAAAGAGGTCGGTTCGGGAGACAGTGCTAAACAACAGTGGGCTATTTCAGAGTTCTTCCCCGGGGACCACATAAGGACACGGAACAGAAAACTATTATTATTATTATTATTATTATTATTATTATTATTATTATTATGCCTAAATAGTCTTCTCTGTCTAGACCCACAGTAAAAGCTAAGTGGACTCAAAGCTGACCCTAGCAGTCCCAAAATCCCACTTACCAGATGTCTGATGCCCTGAGAGAGGGTCAAGAGGAGTTGGACAGGGCTGCCTGGGGGCAACTGCTCCCAGCTCCAGTTCCTGCGGTTGGAGAGAGCACGCATGAGGAAATGTCACCTCCAGAAAGGTGATCCTGAAACCGGAAAGGGGGGGCACCCACCAGACCTCAAAGTATACATTTGCACAGGCTCTGCGGAGGCCGCCGCCTTCAGCACTGCCTGGGGCAGGCGGCGATGGTACTCAACGGAGCTTAAGGCTTTCATAGCAGAAGCTGCTGAGCGAAGCCGCACACAGGCTGCAGAGACAGGTGGAGGGGGCGGAGCTCAGGCCCCAGAGGCTCCCTCATTGGGTGTAGGGGTTGCTGGGGTACTGACAAGGGGGGCTAGCTGAGGAGGGGGTAGAACCTGAATGGGCTGAAAGGTGTGGGTTTTGAAAGAAGGACTCCGTGGGGGGAAGATGCAGAAACCTGGTGCAGGTTGGCGGGATCTTAGCCGGCATCTAGAGTAGCCATTAACCTTGCTGTTCTCAGGCACACGAGCACATGGCTTGCGATATACTCAGGAAGAACCCAGCTCCATGCTCCTTCAGGCAAAGTGTGCATGCTTTTGTACCTTACCTCTCCCAGAGCAGACCTCTGTTGCCCGTGTGTGTGTTTGGGGGTCGGAGATAAGAACCCAAGATACTGGCCGACTCCTCCCCTAGCTCTTGCTGGCTTCCTACCAGAGGAACAAGGCAGATGTTCAGCCCTCTTCCATTTTCCACACACCCTCCTCTACCCTCATCTCTCCGTTAAACCAAACTCTCTCTAGGTCACAGAGCTTTGCAGGCCAAGCACAGAGCCCGCTCCCCCT